TGGGGGGGGGGGGGGGGGGGGGGGGGGGGGGAAGAGGTTGGCAGTCACCAGTGTCAGCGCTTCCCCTCTCGCCGCCCACAGTCGAGAAACGTAGAAACACCTAAACCACCGCACACACGCACACACACAGAGAGAGAGAGAGAGAGAGAGAGGGGCACAGAGGGCATTGATCATCCAAAGAGAGAGAGAGAGAGAGGGAGGGAGGGGTGTGTGTGCACCACCGACCGGTGTGCGTTTGCCGACGCGCTCAAACACCTTGGCCTTGCAGTACTTGGTGATGTCGTTGGTCACCTGCACCAACCACACACACACACACACACAACGATGCTCACAAAGATGCCTCTCTCTCTCTCTCCCTCTCTCTGTGCCACCCACTACTACTTGCCTCGAAGTAGCCATGCGCGGCCGCCCCCTTGGCGTGCACCACTCTCTCAGGAATGCGCTCGCGGTCGAAGTGAGCCAACTTATCTGCAGACCACACACACACACACACCCCTCGTGGGCGTGTGTAGTGTCCTCCTCTCGTGTGGGCGAGGAACGCACCGATAAGGGCGAAGTCGGAAATGGCTATCGGCCCAGTGCTGCTGACGGTGACAGAGTTCTGCAGACACCAACACACACCAACACACACACACACACACAGGGGAAGTGTGTGCAGCCCTGGCTGCACCGAGCGAGGGCGCAGGGACCTGGTTGTCATCCACAGGGCACCCACTGGACGTGGTGATCACAGGACGAGACGAAGACATCTGAACGAGGGAGGGACCGCACCACAAGAGCACCACACACGATGATACCAGAGCAGGGCAGAAGATGTGCAGCAAGTGCTCGAGCGCTGCTAACGCACGGGAGAGCGTGTGACCGAGCGTCTGCCCACTTTTCTGTCGACCCCCCTCAAGTGTGCGAGTGGGTGTGTGAATGATATGCTCACCTTTGAGTACTGACTGCGATTCGTTTGTGGGCAAGCGAATCCCTTCTAAAATCAGCCGGGTGACCTCCCACCTGCTCTAACCTCCGCGGTGTGCCGACGAGACTAAGAGAGGCGCGCGCTTGAGGGTCTAAACCCTAGCACCTAAACCCTAAAGCAGGCTGCAGCTTGTGCAGAGGGTAGTTGGTTCCTCGCCACGGGCACAGGTGCGTCCAGACAGACAGACAGACAGACAGACAGACTGACTGACTGATCAGGACACGCTGTGAGAGTGTTAAAATTTGTTGTGCGAGTGCCATCTCCCACAGGCAGGCAGAGTGGAGGGATCGATGCGGAACAGGCGCAGAAGAGCAGCTGCTGCTCGCCTGCTGGCGACCGCCTTTGCAATGTGTCACTTGGCCGGTGCGGTACGGCACAGCACGGCACAACACGCACACACACACACTGCAAAGCAAAGCCACACACACACGCAGCAACTGCCCTTCTGTGTGTTCGTGCAGCGGGGAGTTGCAATGGCATCGACGCCAGCAATGGCACCGAGCCGTCTCCCGTGTTGTGGGACCACAGCGACCTGTCGACAGAGAGCAGCGCATTCTGGAGCAACGAGAACGTGCCACAGGTGCTGGTCACAAGGACGGACTGACAGAGAGACAGACAGAGAGACAGAGACACAGAGAGACAGAGAGAGAGAGAGAGAGAGAGAGAGAGAGAGAGAGATTGACACACATTGACACACAAACACACAAACACACACACATATCCACACGGGTCAATGCTGACCCGTCATCTGAGTCGCTGGCGTCGCCCCCCCAGCCCCATCCCCATCCCCAGCCCGTCTGCCGGTGCAGCTGCTCCAGCGTGAACAGCAGCGTCAGCGGAAATGACAAGGAGAAGGCCTGCAACACACGCGCGCACACAGACAGACAGACAGACAGACAGATAGAGATAGAGGGAGGGCGGGAGGGGGGAGAGAGAGACATCCACTCATTGTGTGTATGTGTGTGTTGCGTGAGCGCTTCTCTGTCTCGTGTGTGTCTCG